GATAAAGATGCTGCAGGATCCCATTGTCCACGGTGTGAAGATCCTTCACGTTAAAAGACGGGAAGAAATATGAGCGGAAAAACTTCTTTGGGAAGAGTCCTTCCCAAGTGTCATCACCCATGAAGACCACTCTCCTTCCTGAGTCAGCAAGAAAGGAATTAATGAAAGCAGGGAGCCCACCCCAGTTATGCTGTTACCCACACCAGTGCAAAGAGCCTGGGCAGATCCAGGTTGGGGTCTGGAGCACCAGCTGCTCTCCAACCCACACTGAAAAGCAACCTAAAATTAAAATTACCATCTGGCTATAAATGAGTTTGAATACAGGGAATGACCAGTGGTGTTTCTAAGCCTACAAGAGCGCCCCACACCAAATTCACCTGCACAACCTCACCACTTATCGTTGACCTCTGACATGTCACCCCAGTGGAAAGACTTGTGGGTTGAAGAGGCCAGGAAGCAGTCAGGTATCCTACCGTACTACCGCAGCACTTAGGAAGGTGCAGTGTAAAGCAGACAAACCCTCACCCAAGGCCCACAACTCCACTGTAAAACACAAGGCAGTAGATGGCTGCTGACAGGGGTTGAGTAGAAGCCGCTGAGTCCTGGGCTCCAGCTTTAAACACCACAGTGGTGGATTTTCATACACGGAAAAAAGAAGGCAAAAGCACTGATGCTTCCCACTGCCCTTGCTCTGCTTGCCCTGCCTGCCACCAGACTGTCCTCATGTTTCCGCAAAGCCTCTCTAGCATGGAAGTGGGATCCTCCAAGGCTGCTGCGCTGGCACAGGATCTACCAGAGTTTTTCCCCTCAGATGATTTACTGCATTTGCCCACCTTGCTCACACACAGGGGAGTGGACAACCCAGTCACGTCACCTCATCCCAGGCACTGGTATTTGTGCTACTCTGAGCCCTGGAAGGAAATCTCTCTGGGTAACACAAGACTGTGTCCTGTCTCCTTCTCTCCATCATCCCACGCTAACAACCCCTTTACAGATGCACCAAGCACACCCCAGCAGCACCAAACTACACAGAAAACATGATGAGGATGCTGCCTAACAGCAGCAGGCAGCTGGCCAGGCAGGCTTGCTGCCTGAGTGACACCCCCACAGCACACCTGGCACCTGTGCTCCTCCCTCATCATGCGTCTCACTTGAATGCAAACACAACACGACTGCCCCTGGCTTCGTACAGCCTTTCCTGGTGGTGACCTTGTGCCAGTCGCCATCAGCACAGCCATTTTCACCTGCTTTCTCCTCATCTTTGAAGATGATGCTGTGGTCCCAGCTACTTCTTACTCCCAGTACAAGGTGGAGAAACCCTGCCTGTACAACAGCTCTGTCATCCCAGTAGGGCAAAAGAATTAGATAACAGGGTGGAGGTGGTGTAAGCAGTTCCCTTCCCACAAAGAGAGGAATAAAGGTCCCTTGTGAGCACTGACCTGTGGTTTGCACACACCCTGTCCCAGTGGGACACCGTCCCTGCACACCTACCGTTCTGCACCAGCTGTGCCAGCAGGTTGTCCTCCTGGATCGCGTAGGTGGCAAAGTTGCTGCCCACGTCGATGAAAGTGGGCAGCGAGCCAGTGGAGTGGTGAGGCCCTTGATGCGCTGCATGGTTGCCGTGGGGGGATCGGCTCGGAAGCGGTAGAGGCGGGCATGGTGAGGCTGGGAGGTTGTGAGGTAGTGCAGGAAACTCAGCTTGTTCTCGTAGGGCAGTGGGCTGGCCTTGGCTGGGTTAAAGTGGGCAAACTCGAAACTGAGGGCATCGATGATGACAAGCACAGCCTTGGAAAAGCGTTGGGGTGCCCAACAGGAGCCTGGGGGCAGGTTCTGCCTCTCCCAGGGTGGTGGCACAAGCGGGTCTGAGCAGGAACTGCTGCTGGCAAGCTCAATCCGGGTGAGTAGGAAGCCACTCATGAATAGCCCGATACCAGCAAAAAAGAGAAAGCAAACCCAGGCCAGGAAGAGCAGCACTGGCCACCGCTGCATCCT